CTGCTCCTGCACTTTATACATATGATCTACTGTCCGGCTCGAGACGGGTGTAGATGTCGGGTGAGACCATGGGACTTTAGCTGCCTGAAGGCGGACCGAAGTAATCAGTAACGCAGTAGCTGTAGAAGTGTCCATCTGGACGATATCGAACACAGAGTCTGTCACAGTAGGCAGGGGCTGTACTGTAGACAGAGTGAGCGTGTTAGCCATCCACTTGATGAAATCTCCGTAGGATTTCAAGTCTTCCGAAGGGGAGATTGGAAGATCATTGCCCAATTGTTGAGGCGGCGAGGGTTCCACTGGAGGATCGGGGTTTTCGTCCCCTGATTGGGAGGAGGCATCTGAAGAGGCGGAGTGCTCAGACAGCTCGGAAAAAGACATAGGTAGCATCGGTATCGATGGAATCGGGTTCGATGGCTCTTTAAACTTTGGAACTGCCGGGTGCGATGGCTTGGAAGGTTTGCCTGTCGGTCTCGACAGATGGGGCCTCACGAACTCTGGCGTCGATGGAGGATCTCGATACCGGGAGATGTGTGAAGAGGTGTACTGACGTTCCCACTGCACTGGTTGGGGTGGGAACCATGGCATACTGCCCGTAAATGGATAGGCCCCATACATGTATTGTCACTGCCATTGGTCCCAGGAGAGCGGTGGTGGTGGATGGATCGGTGCCAAAGGTCAGTCTTGATCATCAGGAGAGAGCTGTGAAGGACGGACAAACGCATCGGCTCCACAGTCTGAGTGCAGACTTTCGACACTGGAAGACCAAGAGATCTGTGTCAAGTCCATATTGTGCTCAGAGTCAGTGAGCTGGATAGGATGCAGCAAAGGCGACTGAGGTACACCTTGTGGCTGCTCTTGGCTCGAAAAGTCAAGGGAAGCAGCCCCCATAGGATTCTGTTCCGAGACCCTCCGCGGGGTCAGCGGAGATTGCATAGGGGGATTTTTCTTATGCTTTTTATGCTTGACTGGCTGATCGTCCTTGCCTTCTCTGCATTTTTTGGAGGGAGTATGGGCTAAGGACTGAGATGTCTGGGCTGAGCGTTTCAGCATTGGGCGGTTGATATCCACGTGAGTCGATATTGGGGACAGCACAGCTGACAATGCCGAGGCGGTAGTCGACATTGACACATGCCCCAAAGTGTCCTGTGACAACATTGGTGAAAGCGCTAACTCCAAAAGTGCAACGCAAAGTCTAGCAGCTCTGTTTTTCCTTGTCTGCTTCGAAAACTTTGCGCAATGAGCACAAGAGTTCACTCGGTGCGATTCTCCGAGGTCCGTCTGGGAGGGCAATCTTGCTGCTGCACTTAAGGCATCATTTAAAGAAACCCCACCTCTTGGCCATAGGCCGGGAGAGGGGGGGAACACACGACAGAGTCCAAAAGGAAATAAATCCGTAGAAACAAAGTCCTTTCACTTAACAAAAAATAAACAAGAAGAAAACGAAGAAACTTCGAAGAAAAAAGAGGAATAGGCCTAAAAGCCCAAATTTTTTACCGACCGAAGCGGAGAAGATCCTACCAGCATGGTGGTCAGAAGAGAACTGGCGGGATTGTCGTGCCCCTCCGTTGGTCATGACTGGGGAGCGGGGGCGAAAATCCCTTTCACTTTCAAGACGAACCGATCGAGGTCGGCGCAGGCGCACTATATCCCAGAAGTGTGATGCACAGAGACCACGAAGAAGATCTATCTCTTCAGTTTCTGTATTTACAATAATCAACATGGATTAGAATTTACACATGCAAAGTGAAGAGCAGAAAAATCTACCACTGTACCCTTCCTGATTGTTATGATATATCAGTTAGAAGGTAGTATATGATCTAAATGAACTGAGTCAACCCAAGATAATATGTGCAGGGTTTGTATAGAACTCACAAATGAATATGGTGCCTCTGTGAAACTCCCCATTCTTTTTAGAATCTCTGCCTTAATTTAGGTAACTTAGCTAGTATCTTCCATGTTCAGTGACAAAGAATGCATCAGTGAAAAACTGAGCAGAGGTGATTTGACTGCTTATTGCATCAGAAAGACAAGAAAAAAGACCCTAAAATAGAACTTGATCAATGGGAAACTGAACTGAAATCTTCGAGTTCACAGTACATTTGGAGACTGAGCTGAGAACACACTTCAGAACTCTTCCTTGTTATAAACATCTGACATATAATCAGAGAATTATTATTGTGGTAGTAAGATTCTCGAAGAGGCACGTCAGGGATGCTATCCTGAAAGCAGTTGCTGCGACACCCCTGAAGGAGGGGGAGAATGCTGTCAGAACGCTAAAGGATATTCCATTTGAAGTAAGACAATGCAGAAAGAAATACAAAGAACTTGTGTTTTTCCTCCAAACAAACTCAATTGGATATAAATGGCTGTTTCCAGAAGGAGTAATATTCAAGATCAAGGAGAAGAAGGTCAAGATTGACTCTGTTCTTAAAGCTCAAGAGTTTCTAAAGGAGCAGCTGGGAAGGCTAGAGGACGAGAAAAAAAGAAGAGAACGATAAGTTCAGTGGAGAGCTGGAAACTGGTTCGTCTGGTGAGGACTCTTTGACTGAGCAGGGGGCATCAGCCCCGAAAAGTTCCTACAAACTGCGGAAGAAGAAGTAAAGGCTAAACGACTCTGAATTGTGCCTTTGAGAACTTTGGTTCTAGGGGATGATGGGGGGCACTGTTATTGGGCAATTAAATGTAACTGGGGATGGTTAAAAGGGTTAAAAGATTGACAAAAAAATCCCCTCCGGGGGCTTTAAAAAAAAGAATTATTATTGTGATGTAAATAAAAGGAAGGTTTGTTGACAGTATCTTGAATAGGGTTACCAGATGTTCTCTTTTTTTGGTGCCCAATGCCCATCCTCTTTGGGGCTGTTTTTAAAAAATGGATGAAAATATCCTCTTTTTGGGTTGGAAGGTTAGGAATATTCCTAGTTAGGAGCAATTATCACAGCTATAATAGTAGGGGTATTTAAAGTGAGATTTGTCATAGTGATCATTTGTTTGAAGTAGTCAGCTGGGAAATATGTCCTCTTTTTTTGCTTTTCAAAAAATGGTAACCCTAATCTTGAAGATTAAAAAAATATTGCTGTCATGGTCTTGGCTACTTGTTTAGCAGTTCTAAAATCAGTCATTATCATTACTAACAAGACTGGCAAAAACCAGATTTAACCTATGCTTGTTTACTTGTGTAATAATTAAATTATGGCTTTTCCTTGTGAAAATTCTGTGAGTTATGACCAAACAAACTCTCCTTAAACAGACATCTAAACACTTTTTTGCTTTTGTAGTTTTGCTGGTGTACAATTTAACACAAATCAAGAGATGAAGCAGACTTTCCCATGAGAAATTATTCCCAATGAGGAAAGACCAATTTATTGCTAATTATGACAAATTAATGCTTCACGCTTAAGTTGGGTTGCCAATTGCCTGGAGGAAAAAAATTACCACTCCCTCTAATAAAGGCTTAATGAGATGTTATTTACTTCATGCCATGAAAAACTTCAGCTAGCCCTTTATATACATTAAGTCTCTATTAAAAGGATGGAACATTTTCTTCCAGGTCTTTGGGCAACCCTACTTTCAAGCATACTTATTTGATAGTAAGTTTTATTGAAAACCAAGAAGACTTATTTTGAAGTGAAATGGGACAGAATTAGAGAGTAGTTCATGACAAAAAATGAGAAATAAAAATTTAGTCCATCTCCACATTCCTATCATTACAGTTCCTTAGATTTCAAAATAATTAGAAGCAGAAATTTAAGTCAAAAGTTGGAATAAGTTATTGATAACCAGGAGAATTTTAGTTATATCTGGGAAAGGCAGAATGTTCTTGCCAAGATTAGTTGATTAGTATTTTTTTTTCTTGTGTCAAGTAAAATTAATCCTCATGGGTTAAGACTAGGGATGAGCACGAAACTTGTCATGGACCTAATTTTGTGACAAACACAGTTGGTTCGTGGTTTGCGAAACAAGGTTCGTGCCCATTCCTATCCACGATCCTCCACATGGTTTTCAAAAAGAAAAAAAAAGGGGGGGGGGGGGGGGGGTAGAAGGATTGCTGACATGGCTTGCATCCATTTCAGCCTAACAGTGGGGCTGGTGTGCCCATCAGCTGTTAGGCTGAAATAATAGATGCAAGCCATTTCAGCAATCCCTTTTGCTCCCCCTCCCGATTTCCAGGTGCTCCCTTTAAATGGCTTTTGCAAGCTGTGAGTGAAGTCCAAGCAGCGAGTTCACCCAGAAGTGGTGAACTCACTGCTTTGACTTCACTTGCATGCACTGCTTGCAAAAGCCACTTAAATGGAACGTTCCTTTTAAATGGCTTTTGTTATGATGTTTTATGATCTCCTTTGGGAGCACATTCCACCAGAAAGGAGCTGCCACTGAGAAGGCCCTGGCCTGGTTATCGGCAGCCTGGCATCTTTAGGGCCTGGGAGGGCCAGCCGTTTTAGGGCCCCTGAACGCAGTGCTCTCTGGGGAACGTATGGGGAAAGGCGGTCCCTTAGATATGCCACACCTTAACCATAAATGTGCAACTGAACAACAACAAAAAACATAAATGTCTTTAGAGGTTAGAACCAGCACCTTGAAGCGAATTTGGTATGCTATTGGCAGCCACTGCAGTGCTTTTAATACAGACTGGATGTGTTCCCACGTAGAGAGACCCATCAACAGACTGGCTGCAGCTTCCAGATTTGGGACAAGGGCAGCCCCATGTAGAGAGCATCACAGTAGTCAAATCTCGAGGTGGCCATCGCATGGATCACTGTTGCCAAGTTCTTGCATTCAAGGAAGGGAGCCAACAGCCTAATCAGCTGAAGATGATAAAAGGCTGACTTGGCAGTGGCTACTACCTGGGCCTCCATTGTTAAAGTTGTTAACAATGGCATATATATAATTTTGAACAGTGAACAACTGGTTTAGCAAAAAAAGGCTGTGCTTGTTAGGTCCTATAGTTGTATTCTCTGCTGATATGAGAACAGTGTTTTTATCTTGGTTTTTCTGCAGGGTACAGTCCCTGGCTTTGTGTCTCTGTTGTTGTTTTAGAAACTGTTCTTTTCTGGGAGTTTTTTGTAAGCAAGGAAAGGCCCACCACCCAAGACCTGGGTGGTCTGTTGTTACCTCTTTGGGGCCTGTCTTGATAAAATCCATACAGTTCTTCTAAAATAGTATAATAGCTATGCTTAGGAGCACAGTTGCCTGGAACTTTGGAAAAGAGTTGGAACTGCACTTTTGACCCTTGCAGTAGGCATGCATGAAAACTCTAGTTCTGCATGGCTCTCCATCTCTTGCTTTGCTCTCACTACTGAAAAAAGGTCTGTCAAGTATATGCACTACTTGTGCACTCTGAATGACTGATTGTTGTATTAAAGCCTTTTCAAAGAGAAATATGGCTTAAAATTGAATTGATAAAATTATATGAAATGTTGCTTTGTGAACAATGCATTTGGCCAGAGCTACACTTCCTGAGAATTTAGCAAACCTAAATACTGACCTTGACATGCTAGTATAAAATTACCACCAGAAATCAAATTTTTATAATATGCTTCTTACTGAATTCAGTAAGAATTCACTTACTGAATTCAGTTTATACAAGTGATAGCTTTTAGTAAACCTAGGCCTATCTACACTTACAGAATCAAGCTTTTCAGACAGAGTTGCCCTAGCACTCTCTCTTCCTGAGAGAAATTTCTGTTCATCACATTTTTCTCAGGCAACATATTCCGAGGCTGCAAAGAGCTACTGAAGTTTCTATTTGACTGTTTTTCATTTCATATATGTGCTTACCAATCTTTGATTAAGCCTCTTATTTTCCTCTTCTTTCAACTGCAGTGTCTAAAAAAAAAAAAAAACACCTTTAATTTTTAAACTTAAAAATGGCTTACTATATTAGCACTATACCTCTTTACACAAAATTTCAACAGAAGTTCATTTTTTTAATACAAAAAACTCAAGTCACATAAATTATGGTCCTAATCTACGATGCCAGATGAAAGCTGTAAACCCTCCCACCCCAGGTCTCAGAAGTAGCTTCTGATATGTTCGTAGAAAATAAATGTATGGACAAATATTTAAGGTTTGGACCACAACACCACCTATATATCAAGAACCCAATTTTATTTATACGAAGGTCAGGAATTTTTCCCACACTGGCTCGCAGAACAGTCAACCAGGGTAAGAAATCCTCAGAAGTCTACCTGTTTACTACCTCAAGAACCACCTGTACATTAGTACTGCCATGGCACTGAATCTGATCACCAGAACCAAACAAAGGTTAGTGAAAAGGAGGGCCAATATTAAAACCTTTCCATAAAAAAGGCACATGTATTTATTGATAATAACAAATTTTAAAACATATATAGGGGCCCAATTACAACCAATGTATATAAAACATAACAATATCAAGGGCTTAAAAAGTTGACCTTACGCGTTTCGGCTAAATAGGACTTCCTCAGAGGTCATACATATGTGGCAAGATGGTTAATAATTATATTCACATAAACACAATCAGAAATATATACAAAGTATAGATTCAATAAGGACCATAAAGTAAATTGTTCAGAAGTAAAATCACCAGGCACAGGATAAATATGCACATAAGACCTTTAAAGTGCAATCACTAGCCCAGTGATTATAAAATAAACTTATGGTCCAAAAATTTCCTTCTTTGATTGTGTTCCCACAGTATTCACAAAAGTAAGAAGCAAAGAAGGAAATTTTTGATTTTACTTCTCAACAATTTACTTTATGGTCCTTATTGAATCTATATTTTGTATATATTTCTGATTGTGTTTATGTAAATAGGGGAAGGGTAACTACTTACTAAGGGATAAAGTAAAGAAAACCCACTAAAAACCCAAGAGATGGTGGTCATACATACAACTTATCAAAATTAGCTTTAAGCTCCTTGTTCTATAACAATACATTGACTGTGGTGATCTATCAATTATTTTTAGCTTATATAATGACTTAAATCACCTCTAGTTTTGATCTATTTTAAAAAGCGTTATAAGAATTAATTACTAAAATATATAGAGTTTTCAGAGCGTAATAACATCTCATTTCTTCTTATCCTCATGTTTTCTCAAATGATAGCTTGTCTTCGGGGCAGCTGCCCCTAACTTAGAGTCTGGATCCTCGTCAGATTATGTTGCTGCTCCTCCTTCTTCACTTTCATTGGTGCTGTCTTCTTTCTCGGGTTCTTTCTCCCCTGGTGAACGGCTGTGAAGATGCAAAAATTCTTGTGCCGTTTCTACAGAGTCAATTTTTTCTTTCTTATCCATACATTTGAAGATTGTGCCTTCGGGTGTCATCCATCTGTAGGGAATGCTTTTCTTTTGTAGAAATAGTACTAGGTCTCTATATTTCCTCCTCCTCCTTATTTCAAATGGTATGTCCTTTAACACTTTTATTTATTTGTTCCTGATTTTCAAGGTAGATCCACTTGTCGCTTTGAGAATTTGGTCTCTCACTTGTCTTCTCGAGAATCTCACAATCACTTCCCCCGGCAGATTATTTTTTCTTATAAATTCAGGATAAGAACTATAGATCATATCTATTTCGCTTTGTAATGTGTCCGCTTTTATATCTGCCAAAGGGCCTAATGCATCACACATAGTCTGTTTCAGATTCTCAGTCTTATCTTCAGGAACACCTTGAAACCTTAAGACATAGCTTGCTCTCTCCATTTGTAGCTGTAACAATTGAGACTCTTCCATCAAACTCTTTTTTTCCGATCACCTGCAGTTCCCCCCCCCCAATTTTTTGGTGTTGGCATCCACTTCTTTTTCAGTGTTTTCTGTTTTTATGGCTATCTCAGCCAGTTGCAGTTGCTGTGCATTGAATTTGCCGTGCAATGCTGTTATTTGCTCCAGCAGGGGTCGCAATGCTTCCGTTAGCATCTTTTGTAGCTCTGCAGTTATGTCTTGTCTAGGGGCAGGACTTGCTGGTCCAGCAGGTCCAACAGGAAGTTTTGGTTTAACTTGTTTTTCCTTCTCATCCTTCCTCGTGGGTGCCATTTTTAGAGACTGTTTACTGTTTGTAAAAGTTATCACAGTCTCTGATACTCCTTAATATGCTTGGTAAGTTCTTAAATGCTTATTAATTCAGTCTATCTTGCTTCAATAGTTCGCTCCCCTTTTTGTTATAGCATAAAATTGCTTATTCTTTCTTATTGGGGGAGAGTCCCCCCCCCTCGCTTTTAAAGGGAAGTTCCCGGCTTAGATTTTTGGTGAATCTTGCTTTAACTCAAACTCACAGTTCAACATTAGATCCGCTTTCAATTTAATTTCGCTTGGCCACCAAATGGTTGTTCCGGTGTTTCCCATTTGGGACACTCCGCAGCGGGATCTTTGGGGCATGGAGAAGCCCACCTTCTCCAGCCGGTTCGCCGGTGGAAGAGCTGACTCTAGCACCCCATGGGTAGGAACCCATCACAAGGGCTCCAGGGGTGGCGCGGACTATCGCGCCCACTCCCAGCCGCAGACTCTGGCTACTGTCTCCCGGAGGTCCGGGGAGAAGCAGCAGCCATGGCGATTGCCAAAACCGGAAGCTATTTCCCCACTTTTCTGAAATCTAGATGTAAGCGTGTATTATTTCAAGCAAACTGTATACGGGGTTGGTAGTTAGTAGGGATGTTGGAGGGACTCTTGCCTGGATGCCCGCCTCACCCCTTCTCTTGGAACTGGGGCTGCAAACTGTCTCACAGCTGCGGACAGAGTACTGGGAACTACATATAAAATGCCAAATATCAGGTTGGTACTCTCAAAAGGGACAGCAGCAGCTTCTTTTTGTGTGTGTGTTTGTCAAGGGGACAATTCCATCCTCTACCCCTACTCTCTTTTTTTTTTATAATCAGTTTATTAATTTTCCAAACAAACAAACAGGACACATGAAAATGCAAATACATATTTTAGGCACATCTACAAAATCATACCATACTTGTTAAATTCATTAATCTCTTGCAGATAATATTAGTTCCAATATAATTTCAAATCGCGCATTTCAAACCTTTTTGCTCCCATATTATATCTGGTAACTTTTTCAGATTATCTAACCTGAAGCCAAAGACCAAAGATTCAAACAGCTAATTATCCCCATAACTGACACTTATTATTTAGATTAATTACCACCCTAATTCCAATTATAGTTCCTTTAATATTCCATTGATATGCCTTTTTTCTTCATCATCCAAGTTTTTATCTCAATCCACTAACTATGAATATGCAATAAAAACACAATTACTTCCTAAAAATCAAATCATAACTAGAAATTATTATCACAAATTAACACAATACCCCTATTAAACCCTCGTTAATTCATTAATTATGGAATGACCAGATTTTACACAAAAGTTTTAAATAGTCTACACCTTATTAAGGCCACTCACTTACTACAACTCCAGAAATCAACATTTTTTCCACAAATTGAACTCTGTTTAAATACACAAAATACAATTATATTCAAAATACATTTAAATCCCATTACCTAACTTATACTCTATCCTAAGTGCCAAATATAACCCCAATCATCTAATTAATCCCATTTCACCTTCACTAATTCATTATAATCACTCTATAATCCCCCAATTACTGTGACACGACATATTACAAAGTTACTCATAGTCATCATTCCTTTCTTTCGGAACTATTATCTATTAAAGAGAAAGGACATTTATACACAGATAAGTCTCTTGTCTCATATTCTTTCTCCATCTCTCTGTTGCCTCTTCTTCCTTCTCAACTTCCCTTAGATGTCTAGAATTCCTTCTCCATTTCCATAACTCAATCGTCGTTCTTTTGTAATGTTTAGAGTTCTTTCCATACCTTCTTAGTTCCTTCCTTTTCTTCACTTGGCATAAAGTTCAGGTTTCTGAGATATCTTTTCTGCCCCCATAGCCAGTCAGAACACAGAGGTTATTTGCATATGCAGCCTCATTGGCTATTGCCTCGGAACACAGAGGTCGTTTGCATATGCGACTTGATTGGCTTTTGCCTCTAACATTCTAAACAGTTTGTTGTGAAGTGGGACCTATTTATCTACTTGCAATTTCTTGCTTTCGAACTGCTAGGTTGGCAGGAGCTGGAACTAGAGACGGGAGCTCACTCCGTCATGCGGCACACTCGGGTCTCGAACTGCTGAACTACTGACCTTCCACAGCCTGCAGTTCAGCATCTTAACCACTTGAGTCACCGCAGCTCCACAATGTGCTACTTGCTTTAAATACTTTTAAAACGGCTGGTTGCTGCTCTGGGAACATGGAAGCCCTGTTCCTCCAGGTCTTCGTTCCTGCTTCGGGACAAACCAGCGTCACCCCCGTGCCATCAACGGGGGGGGGGGGCCAGCGGCAATGCCCCGTGCTACTTCACCTCCCTCCAGGAAGCGAAGCAGAGCTCACCCGATCGCCGGGTACCTCCAAGGAGAACGAAGAGGAGACGAGCGAGTCGGAGACGATCCAAGACCCGTCCGTTCGCAGCGCCGTTAAGCCGCCTCTACCCCTACGCTTGATTCTGAATTCAGGCTCCTTATTTCTCTAATCTGAATTGGGGGGAAAACCCTGCAGCATGTATTGTGGGATGAAGCCAATGCCTAAGAATATTGATACAATTATTTATCTTTCCCGAAATAGGTACTTTCACATATTTTAAAAAACCAAACTATTAATGCAGTGACATTTGTGAGCTGCTGTGGAAAAAAGAAGCCATTCAGCTGTAAATCTCTAAGCAAGCAACAGATTGAAACCCATGCAAAGTCCCCTCCCTTTAAGTGGCTGATATAACTAATCAGAGAACTGACCCTTCAGTTGGAAGGAATTTTCCTTTGACTGAACTGACCAAAATCAGTCCTGCTTTTCTCTAGAGGAGGGAAGCAAAAAATGGAGAGGAATAGTCCTATCCCTTGCTCTGCCTCTCTTACTGATACTGTGGTCAGCCACCAGAGGAAGTGACAGCTCCCGTATAGTTCAGACCACTTTGCTACCACAGAGAACAAACTTTTGCTATGATAATTAAATCAGCAATTTGATGAGAATACAAAAACTGAGAATCCATAACACACTTCACAAATAGTTAATGAGAGAATTAGTTAATTTTTCTTTTTAATATTTCTAATTTAACATTTTATATATATCATAAACCAACAAATGAACAAATACTCACCAAACAATAAATCGAATTATATAAAATAAACCAACTAACAGAAAAGTAATCAAAGCTTTAAAGTAACATAGTAATCAAGAACAAAAACTATAGAGAAGAAGCAATACGACACATCAGGTCTTATAACTAAAAATATTATATCTAAGTTAAAAATTTTAAATATTTTGGAACCACTTCAACCTGCAATAAATAGTAATTACTCACTTTTTCTAACAACATTATCCTCTGCTTTTCTTCAGACAACATCTGAGCATTTTCACTAAACAAAAAAAAAGTCAAATTGTTAACAAGAATGTCTCTGGTTACTTGACACAAGCTTGGATCCAGAAAACTAAAAGCGGTGCTGCACTGGTTGGATGGATCTTTGCCATTAGCTCCTTTTTTCAGTAGCTTTCTTTTCCTCCCCAAGTCGCTTCTGAGGGCTTGGGAATCCTTGGAACATCATGGAACATGGTATGGACAGACTGCAGCACAAAGGAGCAATGGGGAACCAACCCCCACTTTTCCAGTTACTATAGGTAAAGGTTCCCTTGCTCGAAAGCCAGTCGAGTCCGACTCTAGGGTTGTGGTGCTCATCTCCGTTTCAAAGCCGAAGAGCCAGTGCTGTCTGAAGATGTTTCCGTGGTCATGTGGCCGGCGTGACTAAGCACCAAGGCGCACGGAACACTGTTACCGAAGTGGTACCTATTTATCTACTTGCAATTTCTTGCTTTCGAACTGCTAGGTTGGCAGGAGCTGGAACTAGAGACGGGAGCTCACTCCGTCATGCGGCAACTCGGGTCTCGAACTGCTGAACTACTGACCTTTCACGGCTTACAGTTCAACGTCTTAACCACTTGAGCCACCACAGCTCCCCCTTTACTTTACTATAACCCATACTAATTTAAATAAATGCACATTACTCTAAAACGAACATCAGTATTCAATTAATCCTGACATTCCAGGTTAAGCTTTCCTAAATTTCCTGGATATGCTACATCTGCCGTACTGTTAAATGAATACAACAAGTTTTACCAACTGGTAAAGTTTTGTATGATGTTGTCTTGTCACTTGTATTATCACAAATGTACATTTCCCAAGTGGTCACATGGTCATTTGTGTTAGCAATATGTGGTTGGTTCCTCTGATTGGAGAAGGTATTTACCCAAGCTTTCATGACTAGTCTTTTTTTTAAAAAAGAAATGGTTCATCTTACTGTTTCTTCATGGTTTTCAGTTTTCATAATACTATTTACCTTTCAAATAATTACATACTTGCAGTTTGCATGAGGTTTTTTTTTCAATTTCATTTTTGTATTGGTATTTTGACTTCCCTTTTATTACCAAGAAATGAAACCTTGATATCTCTGTGATTATACAATGAAGGTTGTGGGATATGTGTGTGTGTATGCATGCATGAATATACACATACAATTCAGATTTGCATATGTAATGTTTACCTCTAATCCTCAAAATTTTATTGTATTAACAACAATTAAAGCAATATCTAGTTGAGAAAAGAACATGAACAATTTTAATTATACGCAATAGGAGTTTGTTTTAACCTTCCATTCCATCATAGGTAAAGGTAAAGGTTCCCTTGCTCGAAAGCCAGTCGAATCCGACTCTAGGGTTGCGGTGCTCATCTCCGTTTCAAAGCCGAAGAGCCAGCGCTGTCCGAAGACATTTCCATGGTCATGTGGCCGGCATGACTAAACACCAAGGCGCACGGAATGCTGTTACCTTCCCACCGAAGTGGTACCTATTTATCTACTTGCAATTTCTTGCTTTCGAACTGCTAGGTTGGCAGGACCTGGAATTAGAGATGGGAGCTCACTCCATCATGCAGCACCCGGGTCTCGAACTGCTGAACTACTGACCTTCCACAGCCTGCAGTTCAGCGTCTTAACCACTTGAGCCACTGCAGCTCCTTGCCATTCCACCATAAACTTCTGTAAATAAACAAACCACCAGGAAGTAGCAGTAAAACATTACAGAAGCATAAGGAGGAAGTAGGCAAAAAACTAATAACTAAGGGTGGAATAGCTATATTCATGGAATAAGACATAATTGGGATCACTACATACACTTAAGAAAATACGAGACGAATCTGATAAAATTTGGCAACCATTCTTTATATACTGGAATAAAATTAAGCCAGAATGTGAGGGAAGAAATCTTGAGATGTACTTAAATTATGATAGAAACGGTATTGAATTGTATTTAGTTACAATATATTTATAATGTATCTTGTATTATGTATATTAGTAAGTATTTTTGTATAATGCATTCTAGGTGATCATTAAATTTTTAAAAGTGACCAACTTTCCCACATATCCTAGGTGGCAAAGTATTTGTCTTTATTCATTTAAAGCAAGTCTTCCTATTGTTTCATGACTCTTCAACAGCTCAGTGGTGAATTTCACAGCTAATTCAACAATGATTTTGGGGGCTGAAGAGTCACTATGAAATGACTTTCCCTTTGATTTTTGTCAGTTATCAGGGTCTGTGCCAGAATAGAGAATAATAGAGAATAGAGCTATGTACATTACCCTGGGGAGAGAATAGAGCTATGTACATTACCCTGCAATCCTTGGAGAAAGGACAAGATAGAAATGTGAGACTATCTAGTTAGTGTTCATAATTGCAACCCAGCAACTAGTTATATAAACCTGTTCACCTGGATTAAGTTCATGTCAATGCACAGGCATTATATTTACAAGGAGTGAATGAGGGGATTTGGGAATGATCAACTCCCCCAACTACTTCCATGTGCTTTTCCACTGGTGCTTTTCCACTGGATCCAATCTGTTTAACCCCAAGTGCCTGATTTGTTCACTAGCATTCAGAAATGTATACATTTGAACAAAACCTGCTCAACTTACTTTACAGCCATCATGCTGGTTTCCATTACAGAATCCATTTTTCCCTCTTCAGGTACATCTGATGTCAATCGCTCCGTGTCTGCTGTAAAATCTGCTGCACAAGCTCCAGAAGGTTCTGAAGTAGGAGCTAAATAAGTTGATGGAATAGAACTACTACTTCTCAGCTTATTAACTTCTTCTTCAAGTTTCTTCTTTTCTTCAAGTAAACGAGCTCGGTCCTCAGAAAGAGTTTCTATCAAATCTAAGGCAGGCAAAGATTAGAATGTAATATTCAGATATACTGCAGAACAATTATTTGGATTCTACTTACATGAATGTACAATATTGTGCTTACCCTTATCCCTTTCTTGCTGTTGTGTAATCATTTTTAATTTGTCACTAAGATCATTTATTATGTTTTCTTTTTTCATTTTTTCTCTTGTTAGAACAGTATTGAAGGTAGTCTGGAAATACAAATATAACAGTATTTTCAGTAATGCAATATGACGCACAGAAATAAAATGCTGATTTCTGCAACTTCCCAAATCACACTAAAGCAGCTAAAAAATCAAGTTACAGTATTTACTATTTGAATCATTAATCAGGAATGCATCCCAATTTATATCTTCTCTAAAGCTGTATCACTGACCTATCATTAACACAATATCATGAGGTGTAGGAATCCTAAATCCACTGATGTCAGTGTCTGCTTTGAATACCACAAACAGTTCTGAAATTACATTATTGACTTATATTTGACATGGTGAAAATGAATGGTTGAGAAACTTGCATGGGAGCCCTTTAAAAACTCAACTGAAATGAACAGAAATTTCATAACAGCAATGACTAGTTAGGTGTATATGAAGCCAGTATCTACGGTTACAGATGGGCAGAAACTGGCTCACGAACTAAGGATCATCATAAATTTTGGCCAGTTTGTTGTTCACAAAGCGATCTTCACAAACTGAAAAGCCACTGTGAACTTCCATGAATTTTGATGCAGTTCATGGCGGTCTGTGAAGAGCAGAAATCAGGGAATTAAATGGCTCCAAGCCATTTAAACCCCTGCTTTCTGCTCTTCACAGAAACCAGTGGAGCTCCCTATAACTTAGCTGTTTAGTTTAAATGGCTTGGAGCCATTTAAATCACTTTCTGCTCCCAGTGGAAAGCAGCAGAGCCATTTAAGCCCCCTTTCTGCTCGCCACTGCTTTTTGCAGTGAGCAGAAAACAGAGAGTTTAAATGGCTCAAAACTGATACAAACCGGCCCTGACCTGAATAGCCCGTGCAAGCCCGATCTTGTCAGATCTTGGAAGCTAAGCAGGGTCAACTCTGGCAAGTACTTGGATGGCAGACCTCCTTCTTAGATTATTTAGAAGGAAAGGTGCAGGTTTTCTCTCCATAGCCTTAAAAACCTTCCAGGCAAAATCATTGGCTCAACTCCTGTATGGTTCACAAATAGACTTTCTGCCAATCTAAAGATGCCTGAAAGGGTTCCATCTAAATTCCTTAGATTTCTATTTGGCGTTCCTAGAAACACTTCTAATGTAACACTTAGGCAAGAGGCTGGGCTACTCAGAGTTGAAACAAAGGTCTGGGAGCAGGCTAGAACACTCTGGCTAAAAATTTATTACAACCCAGAGGGTTTAATACCTTACCTTTTAGCCTTGGACCCTTACCCTGCCTGGTCCACACAAATTCTTAATAAGAAATCAGATTGGCTTATTCCCAGAAGATCTCTTCTATGAAGCCTATACAAGGCAAGAACAGCTATCGCACAGAGGCTTTGTGACATTGAATTACAAAATGAAGAAACTTCGCTACCCAAGAACTTCAGAAATCTAAAATCCTGGCCTAATTTTACTACTGCCCCTTATTTAACATTACCTATGAGCCCTATAGATGGGCCTTTTCCAGAGCCCGTTTTGAGGCACTCCCTTCTGCTGTACTGCAAGGTAAATTCACTCGAGTTCTGATGCATGAACGTATATGCCCATGCATGGCTAATATGGTGGAATCAGTTACTCATGTCTTACTATTCTGCAGATTCTATCAGGAGGAATGAGATCATCTTATACTACCCCTTCTGTCTAGATTTAGCCCCCTGCAGCCTTATCTTGATTTTAGGCCAGAAGTCCTTCGTAAATTCCTCCTAGAAGACATTCAGAGTTCAGTAACTTACACTGTGGCAAAATTTTGTTTCTTAGCTATTAGGAAATGTAAACTTATTTTAGTTGGGAAAATTGTATGATTCTATTATTATTATTATATTTTACTAATTTTATTAATTTTCGCTTGTTAATGTTTTTATACTATTGCTATGTTATTACTGTTTTAATCTCTCTTATATCAGAATTGTATTGTTTTACTGGCTCTTGTAATAAATTAGATCGAAATACCAGAGGAGGGGGCAGGCTTTATTCAGCCACCTCTCTGAATATCCTCCAGGCCCCCAGTAGGGGTCAGTCACCAGAGGTCACCATGACTTCCAGGTACGCACAGACACTCATACATATAAAAAATACAAAGAACTGATACAAACCGGTTTGATTCACAAACTGGAGTATCAGTTTGTGGTCCAGCCACGAACCATGAACTGAACCACAAAAATGTGATTTGTGTCCATCCCTATTTACAGCCTAAGACTGGCTGTACCAGCCTTTAAAGTTAGGCAGTCATTCCTTTACAAATGAAACCAACAGGATACCATCAAAATCTGGAATTCTGAGGAATGACTGTCTGCTCCCCAGGCTACATCTCCCCCCCCCCAGGAAAAAAAAAGCAGCAGCAGCAGCTCTAAGTTATTTTAATCCCCCCTGGCCCTGAGAAGCATATATAATCAGTCAATTTTACCTGCTGTTCTGCAGTGAGTGATGTTCGAATGTTTTGCATTTCCTCATTTTTCCTCTTCTCATGTTCTTCAAGCTGCTCCAAAAACTTCTGTTTCTCCTCCTGAAGTTTTTCTTGAAGTTCAGCAACCAAGCTTGACGCAGATGATTCAGACGAACTTTAAATATAATCAAACAACTCAATGTATCCAAACGTACAGATACAAAAAATCTAGTTTTCTTTTTAACAGTGTAATCCTTAACAGAATTATTCCAAACAGTTATACGAAGACTGTTGAAATCGGCGGGCTTCGAAGGGTGTGAACTCTGCTTAGGAATGCATTGTAAATGCAGTGCATAGACCTGCACAGTTCTAATTATAATCAATAGTTTTAATTAATAGTTAGCCAACTATAACTTGCGAACTTAATACCAAAAAATAAAGATTCCAATATGAGATATGATGGAAACAATCCCTTTAAAGACAGAAAAGAACAAAAGAAGGGAAGCAGAGTTCCCAGAACTCATGGACTGAATTTAGACACCACACCATGCTTCGGTTTGTCCGTGGTGGGACCAAACACAGCTTGCTCTTGTGCTATCCCTTCTACCTCCCATTACATGCTACTTTTCAGATTGATGAGGCCTTCAATCAAACTCCAAATTTACCTTGACATCTGAATGCAGGTACCTGGTAACTGGAATTTGGCTGAAGGCTTCTCAAACCAGAAAGTTTTCAAATATGCTTCATGTACAAGCGGAGGAAGTACACAAGAATAAATGGAGTTTGTGCCTGTCACATAGGATTGATGTGATGATTGGATATAGCCAATACGGCAATTAAGAATACTCATCATTTTCCTCTTCAGTTTTCCAAAAAAAAAAAAAAAAAAAAGAATTTTCAGAGCTCTGTGAGAAACTTTGAGTGTTTCACGGTATGATAAGAGATGTAAGAAAATGCCATATTCAAAACTGGAGGGGGGGAAGGGGATTCAACACGATAACAAATCCTCAAACCTCACATTTATAGGCTGTGATTGTAAAAACCTTAAGCTTGTTTTTCCCCTCTGTATTATCATTCACTTGTGTTTTTCCTGAACTTTTCATAGTATCATTGAGCCCCACATTATGTTGTCATGTACACCTATGTGAAGTAATGGGGTCTGATATTATGATGGAAGAGGCAACCTCAACACAACTGTGAGAAGACCAGGACAAATGCTACTAAGACAAAGACTGTGGGACAAGAACAAATACACAATGAAGGCTTAGTGGTAGACTTGCTGAAGTTCTTGAATGCAGATAAGGTAAGGAACAATTTGCCTGCATCTCAAACAAATGACTATCCCTTTCCCCACAAATAATTCTGTTTGTATGGCCACTTCAGTGATCACTTTTAAGTGACCCAGTTGCATTAACATTGACCTGTGAATTAAAGCACTGCCAATATTGCTTATTTGTGTTCACTATTCTTATCTACACAGTAAACAGTTTCCAATATTCCATCACACGGCAGGAATAAAATCTGTTGTACAAATGCTACTCTTGCCAGCCATTTCCTCATAATCAGGGGTATGTGTCTCAAATCCCACTTGATCTTGACCCCCCTCCCCACGATACACATGCTCTTTATTGCCTGTCGTCATAATGGGCAATTCATTCGTTCACAATACTTTAATAAAACGCTTTATAGTCCTTATGATCACCATTATTCTCACTGTACAGACTGAAAACACAGTGACCTGCTCAGGGCCATTCATCAAATTCTGCTGACTATGTTTTTCAGCTGACACTTTCTAACTTACACTCTGCATTGGTCCCAGATGGTTCTGATGACAGTTTCTATCTACTCAGCTAGCAAAGGAAATTATACAGAGGAGATGTTGCCAGTAAGTGCTATCACCTCACCTCCTAGCAATCTTTTATTAAATTAATATGGCGTCAAACTAGTGGCAACGAGAAACAGAAACAGTGTTGTAAGAAATCATGAAGCTATTATATTAACGGGCAAGCGAAAAGTCAAAAGGAAATCCTCTTCATGTGAATGACAATTCTGTAGCATTTGCTACTGACAGTTTTCCTACTCAAAGAAAATAGCTCTAAGTAGAACTCTGCACATTTATAAGACCCAATCAATGCAGATCAATGTCAAAAGATTTAAAATGCTAAAAGTTTACCAAAATGTGTGTCAAATGTTTGTCATCTAGGTATCTTAAGGCAAATGACTTCAAATTAGGATTACTTTAAACGACTTGGAATAATTGACATACTCTTTGGCCTTTCCATTCGTTAGTCCTACCAGTTTGAGAAGCATCTTCAGTGACTTGATTGTGTGAGTGGAAAACGAGTCAGGCATTTGGAGAAAGAAATTTATAAATCTGAACAAATAAATGTGGGCTATAAGAATTACATTCACTGCTATGTAATTTACTATTGCTGCTAAACGAGAACAGCTCAAGTGCTTAGGCTGTTCTATGCATATTTCATGGTTAGCCAGCATATAATCTATGGGTTGTATTTAGGGATGTGCAAAAAATTGACATTTTCTAGTTTGGGTCTACAGGACCTCAAAAAATTTCGGCATTTCCGAACGATCCCAATACCGATTTGGTATTTCAATCCAGGATTTTTTGGAAATCCCAATTTTTTCCTGGTCCAATAGACTCAAGAAGAAAAGTGCCAATTTAAAAAAGAACAACCCAGACCAACCCTGGGGCTGGCTTGGCTTCTCCTGCAGCACAGTTTAAATGGCACTGCAGGAGAAGCTGGCCCCAGGATCTGCATGCAGTGGGGAGCTCTCCACACCACACAGAGAGCCAAGTTGGGAGGGCTTCTCCTACAGCACAGTTAAACTGGTCTCAGGATCTGTGTGCGGCGGGGATATCTTCTCCTGTGGTGCGGTTTAAACTCACAGGAGAAGCTCGCACCAGGATCTGCGTGCAATGGGGAGCTTTCAGCTCCCACTGTACCTGCTGATCCCGGGCTGGCTCAGCTCTGCATCAGCTGGGGCAGTGGGAGTTGAGAGCTCCATACCACCTGGGCTGGGGCTAGCTCCTCTTGCAACTCGGTTTAAACCTCACTACAGCAGAAGCTGGTCCCACAATCTGCATGTGGTGGGGAGGTCTCTCTCTCTGTCACATGCAGACCCGGCCAGGAGGGCTTCTCCTGCAGCATGGTTTAAACCGCACTGCAAGAGAAGCTGGCCCCAGGATCTGTGGTTGAGCTGGAAGAGGAGCCAGCCCCAGCCAAGGTGGGATGGAGTTCTCAGTTCCCGCCATACTCAGAATAGATGAATATCCCCCCCCCCAAAAAAAAGCCAAAAGAGTCTTTTATTCAGGCTCAGCTATACTAGTAGTCGATCAGATTTTCTGAATCTGTATTCGGCTTAAATAATATCCAAAAAACACCAGTAAGGTTTTTCCGGATATTTTTGTGGCTTGGTTTATGATGAATGCACACTCCTAATTGTATTTGATCCACAAGACTCCCTTACTACAGAACAAACTGCAGCCATGCCACTGCAGGATGGTTTTAATAAGTTATGTAGGAGTTATAAGCAATGCTCCCTCTAAGCTGTGGAGTTTTGTGAACAAAAATTCTACTTTGTGGGCTACTGGCATTAACGTTGTGAGTGAGTGATTTGGCTACTGCATAAATTAGTTTGCTCTGGACCCATCCTTCCTGAGCTAAGACAAAAATGTGTGAGCCGGAGGCTAAAAAACTGTGAGCTAGCTCACACTAACCCAGCTTAGAGGGAACACTGGCTATAAGGTCTATTTCTATTCTGTGAGACTAGTTTAATCTCAAGAAAGAAGCCTGTCACCAAAAGAATGTGTTTTATATTTTTCTTCTCTGAAATCTTTGGATGGTTCACTACTTATTTTCATATGTGATGAGAGTTAAACCAATGTATACAAAAAGAGCAATGAAGCAAATAATTTCAACTTGTTCTTCCTCAGTAAAATTATCCTCTCAAAAGATAGCATCAAAGGTATTTCACAGCTCATTGATTGTATCTTCTGTTACAACTAATCACATTTCCTTTGGAAATCTTATTAAAAATCTTGCTGTTCAAGAGCAGTTCAATCTTGCACATTACAGATTATTCTCAAGCAATTTCATGGAATTCAAAGGAAAGAGAACTTGGCATGACTGCACATATCACATGTTGATTTGGCCATGTCGTACAAACTGCCTTGATCCCACCAGTTGAAAATGTACTATTTTGTTTTTAAACCAAGCATTTTAAGCAAGAGAATCCTACCTTATGCAACCACGTGAAATAAAAATACTCCATTAGTACTACAAGAAAAAGTAGATAAATGTTCATCCGTACACAAAAAGGCTGTTGCACATCAGCTTTCTTCCATGTCAACATTAACAAAAAGTAAACTGTGTATAACCACAGTACTTGTAAACTTAGTTCTGTCAGTACGTACTGATCATTAATGTCACAGAGTGGTATATGCCTCTTCAGCTGTACCACTATACTACAAACACACTGCATTAGAGGTTTTCACCTGAGCAACAGGAAGAATTGCCTATCTGGTTTCTTCTTCTCTTGCTGCATTTGTCCTTAGTTTTTGACTTCTCTGTCTTTTCCTTGTCATTTCGCTCCACCTTGAATAGATTCCTTAGCTCCATTCATAGCTAATGAAGAATATTCTGTTTGACCTTCTAGCATACTGTTCTTGGAGCTTCCTGCATCATGTATCCTGCTTGTACCTAATCCAGAGCTAAGAAAAACCCCATGGGAAAAATCCCATGGATAAGGGTACTGCTTAATAAGTTTTCTTACTGGCATCTCTGGATTAAAGTTCCCAGGCTTGTGGACGCTTCCTGAGAGGGGGCATTAGTAATGCCATATACGTTTTTCTTAGATGCTGATCTGAAATGTTCATAATTGAAGTATCCAACACATTATAGAAGTCATCTTCTCTCATCAGACAGATAAACTCTAGAACAGCACTTGGTGTGATTAATATATGTCAGACCTGTACTCTAAGGAGTGCTGCAGGTGTATGTTAACCTTGCAAAGAAAGGACATTCTTGCTGCTAAAACAAGACCATGAGCTGACTGTGGTACAGATTATGAATTGTCAATATCAAAAATTAGAATAAAGCTGAAGAAAGACACCAAAACATTCATAGTGCCAAAATACAATCTAAACAACATTCC